ACTGACACCTTGTCTCCCACCTGGCCTCCTACTTTCTCAATCCATCATCTGTCTTAATGAACTGTGGCAAATGTGGCCGAGCAGGTGTGAGAGCAGCAGCAGCCCCTCCTCCCAGTCTTGGCCTGACTTCCTTTGTGCCTCTTACACAGGCTGTGCAGGGAGCCGAAACAAATTGGTTCCATGTTGGGGGTCACTGTTGCAAGTTTTCAATAGTAAACCAGTTAGGACAACAAATACTGAATTTAAACATAGCTAAGAGGGAGGAAAATGAGTTGACTAACACTAATGCTTTTGCAACTACTGCATTCTAAAACACGCTGGAGAAGAGAAAGGCTTCATTTAGCACAAGACTGTTGTAGTTCTAGTTAGCTTTTCAAACATATATCACAAAGGTCACTATAGATAGCTGAGGTTCATCTTTATAGAAAGAAACATCGAGCTATAAGCAACAAGGCTCTTTGTGAAGCCAGAAGTACCTAATAAGCTGGAGAATTTTACTACCTTCCTAACTGCTTTTTGTTCATACTTGATGGATGGTTGTGGATCCACTGGCAATTCTCCAGACCAGCCTTGGCAATCATGTGGAACATATTATCCTCTTGGGCAGAACTGCCAAATCTGTTCCAACTGTTCCACTCAGCTGTAGACCCAAACACTTAAACACAAATCACTCATGCTACAATATGCTCTACTGTAAAAAAGTTCCATAAAAGGCTGGAAAAGATACCAGTGGATTTATCCTCTCCACTGTTATGATCGTTTGCTCTTTCTTCTTCCTTATTTATTCATATTTATTTATTTATGAGTATTTGGATATCTTCTATAAATACTAATCAAATATATGGGATTGAGATGGTAACAAACCACTTAGAGATTTTTAGGTAGACAACGACAAACCTACCCTTCACCTTCTGCTATAGTGCTCTCTCTGTCTTACTTGTTCTGCTCTATGTGTTTTCATGTGTCTATGAAGATCTAACCTCCATTAATAGTTGAAGCCACACAAAGGACACTGATAACTCAGCCCAACAAAAGTTTGCCTGGATGAACAGCTTGGTGATTTTTAAATCTTTTCAACCTTTCAATCCATTTTGTTGTGTTTGTCTGGAATCACTGCCATAATATATTGTAGTCATCTCAAGCAACTTCCTTCCCTGGAGTGTGCAATCAAAATTTTTGGTATGGTAAATCCCTGTCAATTATATTACTCGCATATTATATGACAGCTTATTACTTTAGACAAGCTATTTCACCTCCATATGTCATTCATTTCAGAGCTGACCATCACTTCTCTGATGTCCAGTCATTTGAAGCCTGCCCCCACGTCTGAATTTTCAAATGTTGAACCCTCTGTGGAGGTGCTCTAAAGAAATAGCCCTGCTGTAGGTTACTGATGGAATAGGGTCAGGGGGATAGTGAAGGAGGCAAAACATTCCCTTCATATCTTCCTAGTTTATTAGCAGCAAAACATGATGTGCTTTATGCAGGAGAAATGCACATCCCTGGGTCTGCAGACTACTACTTGCAGCTGATGCAGTTTCACCCATTTAACATCACATATATGTATGTTTCTAAAATCAAAAGCTAAAGTCCTAAGTGACTTTATTTTCTTCTCTTAGCCAGGATTAAGAAAATTATGTTAAAAGTCTAAAGTCTAAAATCAGCACAATGAATTGACGTTTCTTCCCCTTACCTGTATCAACAGATAACGTCTTTGAAATGAAGCATTATTTGACATCTCAATTTTATTATATCACAAATAGAGCTTACACTGTGTTGGATGTTCTTCCTTTAACACTTGGATGATTTTCCATCCTAATACAATGGACTGAGTGTCTCTTCAGTTTTAATCACAGGACCACATGACTGATTTCAGCACTGGTTTTATGTGGACATTTGTGCAAGAAAGGCTCTGTCTGCAGTAATTTCTTCTGTCTGGTTACCTAATGAGTTTGTTGATTCATTGATTGTGTCATTCAATAAGCTTTTAATGACTTGTGGATTTGATTTACACTCTATGAATAAGCTGTGAGAAGTTTTGAAACAGAATCTCAAGTTATATATTCTGACAGAAATTAAAGATGTGAGCACTCTACCTGAAGGCATTGCTAATAAGGATTTAATTTTATTTGATTTTAAATTCAGGGCACAGGCCAATGAAAATTTCATTAATTTGTATGCTGTGGGAACTACATTTGCCAAATTGATTTGGGGAATTTGCATAATATGATGGTCTCAGAGCTTAGTATGGAATCTGACCCTTATATTTCATCCCTTTTGAAGCAGAGTACTTTTTCCTTTTCATTCTGTCTTGTCCATTTCACAGCTTTATTTGGTTCTTATAGCTTAGTTATTACTTAAACTATAAAAAAATAATTATCTACCAACTGAACACAATGTTATTACTACTTTCATGTTATTATTACTGTCAGAATTGTTAGCAGAGTTAACTTTAAAAAATGATGAGTTTTTTTAATGCTTAAATAAGTCTATTAAAAAAATTCCATTAAACATGCAGACATAGAAAGTTTTAACTTTGGGGAACATCAGTTCTTCTCAAGATCTTCTGCTAAAGACATCCTGTGTCTATGGCTCATGTTTACAGTAAGATACGGTGGCAGTGAAGGTCCATAAGTGATAAAATTTTAGAACAGTGCTGCATCTCAGGGAGATAGCAGGTTCATACTGATAGAAGTGGAGGATGACAACAATAATAATATGGGATAAATATAGATTTATTTTTTTCAACAGTCCATTAAAAACTAACTCAGTGCAGAAAATCTTACATCTTACCATCATATGTGGTGGTTACCATTGCAAGAATTATTGGATTAGTTTGCCTAAAAATTTGAGAATGGAGAAAATGGTGAGCTCTCCATACTATGTGGTGCTATCTCTTTGCAGGAACTCCCAGCTATTGCAGGTATCTACTCCCTTCTGCGCCAGCCCCAGTCCCAGCAGCCTTTGGCCAGATCCATACATGCGCTTGTCCAGAACAGTCCTTTCGGAAAGCTGTTTTGTCCACTGATTCTAATACAAATCATGTTACCAAACATCAAGTCACTTTTTCCTAATTTAAATTAATTCATTCATCTGACATGCTTCTCCTTGCTGTGATTCAAGTTACTTCTTTCACTCTCTAAGCTTTCCTTCTCCCAGACTTTTCAGTCACGTTTGGTGGTTTACCAATTTCATTAGTCTTCCGAACTTGCCTGGATGTTTCCAAATGCTCAGGAAAATCCTGTTACTGCAGTCCCCATGGCCGTCTCTTGTTCTGTTTTATGCTATCAAACTTTTAAAACTCCTTTTCATTCTGCTCTATCCCTCTTCCTTTCACTCTTATTTCACTTAAGCTTTTCACTGTTCCCCTTTATTCAGAAGTAAATGGCGTGTATTTAATGGCTTCTTAAATCATTCAGATAAGCTATCAAAGGGCTTACTAGAACTCAAGTAGAAAATTGGTGTTTGGATTTTCGTTTTATTCCTTACTACTGGGCTAATTCCAGGAGTTTAGTATCCTGAAGAAATACCAGTCAGGAATGGACAAACACCTTCAGATTATTTCCTGCTAATACGGTAGCTTTGCTGTTGTTGTTGCTGCTGTTTTGTTTTGTTCCTGAACCCTTGACATCAGGCTTAGTTTGTGGAAGATAGGAAACAGGTCTTCTGCTGTGTTTGTAAACTGAAGATATTACGCTTCCCTACCTCATATATTCTACTCCAGAAGCTCTCTGGTGATCAGGGTTACCAGAAGCAGACATTTGACAAGCCCTCTCTCTTGTTCCTAAGTCTTCCGTTGGAAGTTTCCCCTTGGCATGGTCACTTGACACTAAGGGGACAATCATCCCACGAGCAAAAGCTTTGTGCATGTGAAAGAGAATAGCTGTGAATGCCTAGCAGTGTAAAACCACTTTTGAAAATATAGTATTAAAACAGTAAGCCAATATGTGTTCTGCAGAAACCAGCCAATTCTAAGCACATTACAGTGGCCAAGCCATAGTAATTGTTCCTAGGCTGAACAGCTGCACTGTCTTCTTCCCACAGAAATAAAAATGGTAGGAAATAGGCCATGGAGCATGACTTTATGTATTTATATAACTGAAAACTTGATAGTGGCTGCAATGATGCAAAATATGTGAATTTTATGAGGCCATTTTATGAAGAGATAAACTGAGGGCAAAGGTTTATGATTTGTCAAAAGTAACACATGCCAGAGCAAGGAGTTCTGGGCTCTACTGCTTTACAAGCCTGCAAAGAGTATACTAGTGCCTAGCTCTTGCTATGTGGTTTAGATACATTACAGTATTAACTTCCATCATTTTTATTAGTGTATTAGTGCTCTGATTGCCCACTAGTAATTGGGATTAGTTTTACTGAACTGATTTTTGCTCTGGAGCTACAAATGTTCAATATTACTAACATGCACCTTTCTGTATGAGCTGATTCTGAGTGAGATTGAACATACTGGAAATTGTAACAGTACCTTGGAGTTCAACACGATCTTCCCTTGGTGTATTATTTCAACCTTCTCATGTTGTTCCTTCACAGCAGGAGGCTGCCATGCAGCAGAATTGCTATGGATAACACATGTATATACACTCACAGGGGTTGCTCACCACTGTAAATTGTTTATATTATATAAACAGCACTGTATTCATAAAAGGAAGAAAGAAATGTGTTTGAATTTATAGATTTTTTTTTTCTCCAGAGGTATATAAAACTCTTCGCATATTTGTGATGGACTAAACATTTTCTCCAGCATACTAGGTCTCAAAAATACAGCATGCAGGAAGTGTTTTGAATGTGCAGAGATAATTTATGTAGGTGAGAATGAAATTTGGCCACGATAATGTTATTAATGTATTGATCTTGGCCCTAGTTATGATCAATCTTCAGCAAAAAGTCCTGTGGTAAAGACACTGCTTTTGCTGTGTATTGAAACTGAGCACTGGTGTTAATTGAAGAGTCAAACAATCAGAGAAGACAGAGAAATTCCTTACCACACAGATTCCAGATCCATCAAGGCATCTGTTTGCATTACCATTACAGTTGCAAGGAGAGCATTTTCCTGAGCTGGTACGATAAAATCCTTCTTGGCATCCCTGCAATGGAAAAAAAAAAATATTTCCTAAGGTTTGGTGGGAGGAGCAGAAAACAAGAATTATAACTATCAGGTCTCCCCAGAGCACACTGCTCAACCCAGTCATAGCAGACCACACACACACACTGCTGAACTCGAGTCTGTTCTTTTACTCTCTGTCCTGGTGCTTGCTTTTTTGCCTTAGAGTATTCAAGCTCTCAGCATTCCTGCCCGTGTCCTGTCCCTGACCAGCAGTGGGTGTGGAACTGGCAGATTCTTGCTACATTTTGTGCTAGAGGATGAGTTAATCAGAAGTGATAATCCTTCTCAGCAAAGAAGGTGTATTTATAGGAAAGGAATTCCTTTTTACTTGAAAAAAGGAAAAGCTTTAGAAAATTTACTTTCCATCAAAGCTTTGATGAGCTTTGGATAAATAATCTACAGGAGACAGAAACATACCTACAGAGATCAAGGTCCTTCTGAATAACTGTGTGGCTGAGCCTGTTCTATATAATTTCGTATTTTTGATAACACACCAAAGCTTAGCAAAATTAAGCAGAAGACTGTAAACGTCTACATTGCCTAATTAGAGCAATGGTATAAGGAATCAGACACACAGGGCTATTAAGATGCCCCTCTAAGACTGAAAAATAAAAAGAAAATTAAAGAGGATAGCTTTCATTTGATGTATTATGTGTAAATTCTTGTTCTCCACTGAAGAACTTCTCCCTCATTATACAAAGCTGGTGAGACATGCACAGGTTGACCTCAGGAGCAACATCTCTTACTCAGTCAGCACTTGCTCTCCCTGTCCAATCTCCCTGTGTCACACGGATTATGTTGGATCCCTGCAAACTCATGAATTTTTGGATCCTAAATATCTTAACCTTATCTAACTCTTGCAATATTGTTGCAGAGATGATGTGAAAGCACCAGCACATCATTCAGCTTTAAAAAAAATTATTTACCACATCCTGTTTCTGCTATCATTTGCAAATAGCACCCCTGAGGTGGCTGTCAGAGCCTGAGGTATGCCAGGCTCTCCTGGCATAAGTTTTGTGGCCAGCACTTTTTGTATTTTGTGGATCTTGAGGACCTACCCCTGCAAAAAGTGGAAAAGTGGAAAGTTCAAGTGACACAGAAGAGCATGAATCTTCTCGCATTTGTATGAGCTATGAGGCTTCTTATTATATGGTACTGATCAAATTAGGATTAGATTTCCTTTGTATCTCCCTCTTCCTTACTTTCCTGAGTTGCCCTGAAATCAAGGACGAACCTTTGCTTCTCATGCCCACTGTAAGCTATGGCATGAACAGCAGGTCTATAGTATCAAATCCAGCACCACGCAGTGATACTTCCATTAGCTGCAAAAGCTGGGCTGTGAGTACTAGTGCTAAATATCCCTGCTGGTGGCTGGGGCTACCTAATCCTGGCATGGTGCTGTGGCCCTGTCACGTCTGGAACCTGCACTTGCACGTCTTCATGGTGGCAGTTGTAGCTGTGGAGCACTGGGTAGCAAAAGACAGCTGTCGAGTCTCGTCTCCATGTTAACTTCCATTCTCAAGTGTTGGTAGGCACTTCAAAACAGCCAGATAAGCTGCTTGTTTAGAAAACAATGTATCTTGTGAGATGACTAACAACAGGCTTTAAAAAATGATGTTTAAAAATGAATCATTAATCCAGTCTTATCCCAGAGAGCTCTGAGAAGCTCAGATGAACATAAATGGAAATCACAGTCGCCTTTACCCTTCTTATGCACAATATTTTATCTGGTTTGCTTTGGAAACAGTTTATTTGATAATAGTTCCTAGGAGGAAAAGTCTTCATACCGCAGCCACTTTGGGCCAGCAGAAATACTGTCTGTTTGTACTGCTTGTTTCTTTCAGTTGTTTAGTCTTAACACAGAGCAGTAGGACTGGCTCCTGCCAGACTGAAGGTTGCAGAAGAATGATTACGCCACACACTGTGGAAGGGAGACAGTCAGTTTCTAAATTGAAAACAGATTCTTATCCCAGTGTCTGCCTTTGCAATATTTATTTCCGCCTATACAGATCTAAAGCTTGTTATACTCTCTGATGCCCCTCAACTGGAGGGTGGTCCTAGCTGGTCCTTTAGTGTCTGCCCAAAAGCTTTCTTGGTTTTGCAGGTCTAAGCAGAATAATTTTTTACTTGTGATAGTGAATATAGACAATGAAAATGTAGGGATATGTGTAGAGGTGTCTGTGAAAATCCTTTAGTCAGCCACAAAGATAATCTTATTTTTAGTTCAACTAAGGGCATGCCCGCATTGCAGCCATGAGTGAGCTTTCATCTAATCCACACATAAGACAGAAAAAGTTAGGTGCAGTTCAGTGCAACACTGCTGGTTCCAGCGTACTGGAAAGTGTTGCACAGTCTTTGCTAAGGTCCACTGGGAAACAGCTTACCTCCTATTCTGAAAAGACACACTTCTCAGTTCCTCAGGCCATCTGCCTCAATTTTGTGTGTCTCTGCTATTTTCATTGTTGGAGACCCTCTTGAAAATGAGATGAAGGGTCCCAAGTCACCTGAGTATTTTTTTGCAACATTTTTTCCCCACGTTATTCAATTCATCACAAAAACTTAGAAAGTGCTGATGCTCACTATTCTAATACAATACTTTAAACCATGGGTTGCATCAATGTAAGCAAGAAATTAGGTATTGACAATCAATGCTATGAGGGAAGAGGGAATGAGGGGAAAATGGGATCCAGATTGTTTCCTTTGGGCTAAGAAGTTTTCTCAGGCATTCTGAAGTATTCTGATATATTTGTGTTGCTCCTTGCCCTACTAGTGATAATGGAGTGATTGGTTGGTTGTTCCAGGATGTGAGCCAACATCATATTTATAAAAAGAAGTGTCAGAGTGTTGAACTAATTGAGGGATTCAAATTGCTGAATGTTCTGGAAGCATAAAATAATTGCACACAAAGCACAAACAGGTCTGGAAAAAAATAAAAATATCCTCCCTGAAAAATCATTATGTAGGCAATTGAGTGAGGAACATTTCCATCCACTATCTGTTCCTGAACGGTGAATACAATTAGTGAGCCAAAATGTTAGGTCTGCATTAGCAATTATGTCTTCACAATTATTAGATTTCTTTTTCCCCAAGGGAAAAAGTTTGTTCCAGTTCAAGCTGAAAAGTCCAACTGAATGTTGGTCTTGCTGATCTCCTGAAAATTTTTATGCCCGTGGGGCATTTATTCCCCTCCTTCTCACTTTGCATCTGGATTTAATTATTACATTTCCCAAAAACAAGAACCAGCTGCATGCTGAAAGTGCTGTGGAGCCTGTAGTCATATTCTGTTTCTTCAGGCACTTCTACCGGTCTGGGCGCAAATGGGACTGAAGATGGAAGACAATCCACATATACATGGTATGAATTTACTCTCATATTATATTCAAGCAGTTCCATTGCTTTCATTGCAGCTGCTCCTTATCCAAACCTGCATAACTGAGGGCAGAATTAGGTCCACCATTCCACCCAGAAGTAGTGGTGCAGCTGTGCTGGGGTGGATATGTTTGCTGTGACCCTGCCTCCTCTGGTTTGCTTTTCCCAAAAGAAGAGTGCTGTGCTGGTAGCACGCACCAAGTGTCCCCTGTGACTGCATCTGCACCGTCTAGCTGAAAGGCAAGGTGTAGTTTCAGGCCTCAATTTGCTCCTTGACAGATTGTAATTTTCCTGACAATGACCAGGCACAGCTCAGAGCATGACATTTGTTAGGACGTGCTCCCATGAGGCAGTCTGTATGGGACTGCTCTTCTCTGGGCAAACTCGGAGAGCGCTTCAACACATGGACATGGGCTGTGTTATGCTATTTGACTAGGAGGTCCCCACACTGCTTTATTCAATAATTCAGATGTAGCCATTGACTCTCTCATCTAATGGTAGGAAAACATGGCATGTTTCTTTAGTTAGTACTGGAACTTGTGACTTTCCTGTGAATATATAAACATACAAAGGGGCTCTGTCTTCCAGAATAAAAGGCTCCCTTGGATCCATACCAGTGTTTAGTATTTCCAGAGTTTTCTTTTGAGTGCTAGGGTACATGAAAGGATGTGTATCCAGGGCTAAATGGTCTACATTAAGACATTTCGGCCTTTGTTATATTCATTATCATTGTGCCTACCAGTCTTGGACCAGGAATCTCGTTACAATCTGGTCCAAAACAAACCCAGAAGAAAAAGATGGTGCTTGCCACTAGGACCATTGTAAAAGAGGAGACGGCTGTTGCACTTGGGGAACTGAATCTGAGGAACAGCACTCAAAGTAGTAGAGATGGCACATCGGCTGCTAAGTCACTGCTAAGTATAATGTCAGTTGAGCCTTGGTTGTAGCTCGCCAGCGGTGTTATGGTCTTTACTTCTAGAGTCCAGAGGTGTGCTTCCCTCCAGATCTGAGAAGGTTCCTCAGGGGCCTATGTGGATGTTCAGGCATGAGGACAACGATCAAACATTATGGTATTAGTAAACTCTCACTTCAAAGGTCTGCTCAGGATAGTAAAAGTGAATGCGAATTTTGTGTAGAAGGGTGATTTTTGATGACAGTAGGCAAAAATGCACATTTTTTTAGTTTCTAACAGGTCCCATGCATTACTTCTTTATATGTCAAGAGTTAATAAATGACTACAGCATAACTTATTGTATGCTACTCAGGTCATAGTAACTGTCCTGATCATGTTCTTTTAGCCTTCAGTGGAAGAGAATTAAGTTAATTCTCATTACCTGTCCTCTGGTGACGGACAAGTACATACACAGATAGCTATTTCTGGTTAAGCTGACATATCACAGCTCATTCACCTGCTTTACGCTGGTGGTGTTGCAAGTTCATTGGACATATAGTTTAATTTTGAAAATATATTTGTGCATTCAAATTTTCATTTTTCTTCTGTCTGACCTGTTCTCTACAGGTGGTAAAAATATTGCCAGAAGACGATTCCCTGAGGGAATCGTAATCTGGGAAGTGAGAAATTTGGCATGACCGGCTATCTCTCAATCAAAA